TTAGTGATACAAGTGATATAAGTCATACAGTGTACTCTATAACAAAAATTAGGTTGAAAATTAGGTTTGAAAGGTTCACTCCGAAAGTGAACATTCTGCAGTCTCTCTAAGTTGACGAACGAAAATTTTCTTCCATTCAGGTATTTCTTTCAGACACATTTCATGGAACTGATAAGAAACTCGCAGCTGATCTAATTCATTCGTGTGTGTTTGCATTGCTGCTGTTTTTCATTAACGAAATCGTCTCTTTTAAAGTGGGTCGCACGAACAACACTGGAGAGCCTCGTGACACGAGAAACTTAATTAAGCCTCGAGGGTTGTGCTCGCGATTTTCCCAGAAAATGGGACTTCGAATTTCGTGTACATTCGCGGGCTAGGACTTTACTAGGAAGATGGCGATTCAGGGAGATGTGTGCTTCTGTAAATTTTTGGATTTAGAAATTTTTAGTGAGTTTGAGAGTAAATTTGAGAGTTTGGGGATTTGGAGATCTGAACTTAGGACTTGGGGATTTGGGTACTTGGGGATTTACAAGGTGGGGAATTGTGGAATTTGGGGATTTACGAGGTGGGGAATTGTGGAATTTGGGGATTTATGAGGTGGGGAATTGTGGAATTTGGGGATTTACGAGGTGGAGAATTGTGGAATTTGGGGATTTATGAGGTAGGGAATTATGGTATTTGGGGATTTACGAGGTGGGGAATTGTGGAATGCGGGGATTTACGAGGTGGGGAATTGTGGAATTTGGGGATTTACGAGGTGGGGAATTGTGAAACTTGGGGATTTATCGAGGTGGGGAATTGTGGAATTTGAGGATTCAGAAACTTGGAAACTTGAGAATTGGAAAATTTAGAAATTGGGGAATTTGAGGAGTTAGAAACTTAGAAATTCAAATCTGAGAATTCGAAAATTTGGGAATTTGACGATCCAGAAATCTGGAAACTTGAGAATTTGCAAATTTACAAATTAAGGAATTTATGAACTAAAAAATCTAAAAATTCCAAAGCTAGAATATAAATAAACTTGTAAACTTGTAAACTCGTAATCTCATAAACTTGTAACCTTGTAAACTTCGTCAACAAAAAAATCTGAAAGCACAGAAATACAGAGCTGTGACTTTCAAAAAATTTCTCAACGTATAATCCTGTCGCAACGTTAAACAAGATTACGACGATGTCCGAAACTACGTAGATCTCTGAACGGAAACGAACCGGTTTCGTTGGTTCACGATTCAGCCATAGTGATAATTCACCATCGAGCAACCCGTTCCACATACGATCCTCTCCGCTTCGGTATGTTAATATGATTCATAAGTGGTCTAAATAGGATGTCGCAAAGTGGGGTCAAACGCGACGACCCTTAACTGGCCGGTGCTTTTCTCTCGATGCACTCTGGGTCACAGGAGAATCAATGAACGATCGAATCCGTCTAATGGATGTTTACGCATTTTTCGCCGGGGCGAAACTTATACGTACACTCGTTCGCAAAAGTATTCGCCTTCGTACTCGGTACAGTAGCTCCACGATATATTGGCGTCGACGAAGTTTTATGTTGACTAATTTTTTAATAAATTTTCTACTTCGAGACTGCAATACTGTGTGCACGTAGAGATCTTATTAAGATGTTTATATAAAAAAATAAATGAATAAAGATCTTCATGAAATTTTTGATACAGCAATACTCGGTGTGCATCTAGAGATCTTATATGTTTATAAAAAATAAATAAATAAGGATCTTTGTGAAGTTCTTCATACAGCAACACTATATCTGCTTCTGAAGATCTTCATGCAAAAAAATAAATAAATAAATAAGGATCTTTATGAAGTTCTTCATACAGCAACACTATGTGTGCTTCTGGAGATCTTATAAAGATCTTCATGCAAAAAAATAAATAAATAAATAAAGATCTTCGTGAAGTTCTTTCAGAATGTTCTTTTATAAAAACCTTGATAGTAGAAGAGAGACAGTGGTACATGTGACAAATTTTACAGGTGATAATATAACGAGAGTCTGCTGTAAATTGCGTCCATAAATTTAAGATCTTCATAAAGTTCTTTTACAAAGATCTTTAAAATAGTAAAAGGAAGACAGTTCTACAGGCGACAATATAACGAGAGTCTACTGTAACCTGCACATATTCCTCGAACCAGCATAAACGTAATAAGCAGGAAACTTCGCGAAGAATTTTTGAGCCGAATTATTTGACAACAATTAGCGCGATTATCGTGCAAACGTGAGCAGAGCAATAACAGCCTAACCGAATTACAAGCTGCGAATAAATGCATTTAGCACTCTGCCAAGGAACTATTAGCAAAAACGAGAACCAACGTACATTTCGTCTACAATTACGAAGACATTCTGTCGGTCTATCGTTATCTAGTCTTTTAATAGCTCGTGCCTCTCTTATCGATATATTTTCGCGCACACTATTACAGTCTATCAGTTTTAAGAACAGAATACGATTACAAAGTGAAAATCATCATGTGTCTCGTTAATATTCAGTAATAAAAATAGAATTCCAGGTAGAACAAAGCTCTAACTCATATCGTGAACAGTAATTAATTCATCGCGAGGGATAATCGTCCGTGGCTTATGCAACAGGATGCAACGTGGCTTTTGTGTGCAATTAATTGCATTACAATCGTGCTACAACTATTTGATGATGTATCGAACGGGAAACGAGAGAAGAATTGAATTACTAAGTGGTTGCACGGATATTATCGTGGCTTAGGGACGTATGCAGATTCACCCGCAAGCCAGTCATTATTTCATTAAATAATATTTCATAGGTTGTTTTTATTGCATATTTTATGCGTGCTCTTTTTATGCTATATTGCTGCGCTATTTTTAAGCGTATTACTATGAGGAATAATTTTATGCCCTATGGCGTGGTATTTCCGCGCGTTGTATCGTCACGTTTGGTACTTTCATGTGTTGAATTCCCACGCGCTCTATTTCCTACGCATCGAATTTTCTGCGCGCTGAATTTTCTATGTGCCAAAAATCCCACGCGTCAAATTTCGGCGCACTGAATTTTCCACGCACCGAATTTTCTACGCGCCAAAATTTCCACGAGCAGAACTTCTACGCGTCGAATTTTCTACGCACCGAATTTTCTATAAGCTGAATTTTCCACTCATCGAATTTCTATTCCCCCAACTGTCCACGCGCCGTAACTCCACGCACCGTAGTTCCAAGCGTGGTAATTCCACGCGTCGTATTTCCGTGCGTGGCAACTCCACGCGCCGTAGTTCCATGCGTGGTACTTCCACGCGTCGTATTTCCGTGCGTGGCAACTCCACGTGCCGTAATTCCATGCGTGGAAATTCCACGCGCGGTAACTCCATGCATGGTAACTCCACGCGCCGTAATTCCATGCGTGGAAATTCCACGCGCGGTAACTCCATGCGTGGTAACTCTACGCGTCGTAACTCCACGCGCCGTAATTCCATGCGTGGTAACTCCACGCGACGTAATTCCATGCGTGGTAACTCTACGCGTCGTAACTCCACGCGCCGTAATTCCATGCGTGGAAACTCCACGCGCCGTAATTCGATGCGTGGAGGCACCACGCGCCGTAATTCCATGCGTGGTAACTCCACGCGCCGTAATTCCATGCGTGGTAACTCTACGCGTCGTAACTCCACGCGCCGTAATTCCATGCGTGGAAACTCCACGCGCTGTAATTCCATGCGTGGTAACTCCACGCGCCGTACTCCCACGCCCCGTAATTCCACGTTCTGTAATTCTACGCGTCGTACTCCCACGCCCCATAACTCTACGCGCTGTAATTCTACGCGCCGTAACTCCACGCTCCGTATATTCACGCGTCATACCTCCCCACGCTTGATACTTTCGCGCATTAATTTTATTTTATCGTCGTTTGCCATAAATTATGACACGACCCAATAACCAAACGCAAAAACGACGAAAATGTAAACTCACGACGGAAATGATGTACACACAGCGAAAAAAGCCAACATCGATGATTTTCACCGACGATCGTTCCGTTCCGAGATGCATCGATCGTGGTTTGAACAGTCACGTTCTTTTTGCTGGTCGTGTCACGAACAACGGTGGAAAATCGTGACGAGCCTCTTCTCGATGGAAACCGAGGTAAAAGAGAAGAAAGGTACATACGATATCGGCGAACATTTTTCGCGCGTTTCTCGAGTACCGGACAAAAGTACTTGTACATAGAACTTTTGGACGTTTCTTTCTGACAATAAAGCTATTCGCTATTTGCCCACTTATCTAATCGTATCGTCGTTATCTCGAATAGTCCGTTGTTGTCGACGTAAAACTGTTAATGTTGTCTTTCGAAAATAAAACCTCATCAGTGTTATCTGCTAACAACGGAGTGATGTCATGCTACGATCTGGGAACGGTACTTTCACGAGTGCATTGGTTATTCTCGTTTCTGACTTAATAGTATGTCAAACTCGAAACTCCTGTCATACTTATTATTAATTAAAAATGCTAATGTATTTAGTATCAAATTATAAATCTAGAGGTATGTCTATAATGAACATTTTGTTGAAGTCTCACTGATATTTGAATGGGTACGAAAATTGTAAAATGGCAATATAATGAGAGTCTACTGTATTCCATTATGCCCGATTCGCAACGTCAAGCTGACCTCTCGCTAATCACCGAGTTAATTACCTAAAGTAACAAGTGGAAAGTTCTGATTAAAAATTGAAATGATTACAAGGTAAATTAAAGACGTTTTTGAAAGTTCTTGTTCCTACTACACCCATTTCTATGTCAACTATCGATCTATGATCGAACACCTCGCATTTTCCGACCTAGCAAAAAACTATCACAAGTGCAATTCCAATCTCGTCCCTAACGTCGAGTGCAACGATTATTTAATCGAAAACGATGCTCGAAAAATAATGAGCCTCGAGTGCTGTTATTTCGACTGTCCCCATTTTCTGCCGAATCATGTCGACGGTGCATTGTTAGCCGAGTACAGTTCGTTACACGAAAACACCCTTACCTCGCTTCAGTTGCTTTTGCTTGTGCTCCTGGTCCTTCTTGACCCCGTTACTTTCACTCGCTATAAAACTCTCGCTCGTCTTCGACTTCATTATTCCTGTTGGTCGCGAGACGATTGCGTAACGCTCGCCGCAAAGCGGTCTACTACACCTTCTCTCCTCTCGGGTCCCGTGATAAGATAATGAAAACGTATATCGCGGTGCTAATCTGTCTGCTCGATAAACGGCACCTTCCGAAAAATAATTTCCACAGTCACTCGAATTTATGCGAATACCACTGCACTGGAGGGACGGTTGATCACGGTGATCGAACTTCGACGGACACGATACTGACTGCACGGACGCCGATCGCAGACTGACCGTCCCGAGAGCCGCTGCGATTCCTGCGTCGAGTTTTGTGCGTCAAGCCACCGTTCTACCGATATTTGCTTTTCACGGCCGTCTGCGATTGCGGCTACTTCCTTCAGAGAGTTTGATGCAGGATTTTCAAATTTGGGTACTTGGTGCAAGTTTTCAAATTTTTGAGATTTGCAATTTTTGAGATTTGGAATTTTTCGAGCTGTATGCTTCGGTTCTGGTCACCCTGGCTCATTGGCTCCCAAATTCCTACACTTCCACATCCATAGATCCCCAAATCCCAAGCTCCCCAGATTCCAAGCTTCTCAAACCCCAAGCTCCCTAAATCCCAAGCTTCCCAAATTCCAATCTTCCCAAATCCAAGTTCCCCAAATCCCAAGCTTTCCAAATCCCAAGTTCCCCAAATTCCCAAGCACCCTCAAATCCCAAGC